GCAGTGTCACCCGCATCGAATGGGCGCTGTTTATAATGTCAACTCCTGTCATGTTCTACGGCACTGATGTGTTCCATACCCGGGCTCTGAAGGAAGTTTATGCGCTATGGCGGCCTGGAAGTCGAGTGCCGATCCTTCGGAGATTCTACCGTTTCGGTAGTATGAACCTTTTGATCTCTGCGGGCACATCAGTGGCCTACATATCATCCCTAGCGGTACTCATCGTTGATGCAGTTGTGGGTACCAAGTCTAGCCCTCATAGCACGACTTATTTCGACTCGGTTGTCTTCTTGACTCTGTTCATTCTTGCTGGTCGATTCCTGGAAGCCTACAGCAAAGCCAGAACTGGCGATGCCGTCACATCTTTGGGCAAGCTTCGACCTTCAGAAGCACTGCTGTCTGATGACACTTCCGAAGATGGAATGAAGCGTACGAGCGTTGATCTCCTGGAGGTTGGTGACGTTGTCAGTATTCCTCACGGCTCCTCGCCTCCTGCAGATGGAGTGATCGTCGATACTGCGTCATACCAATTCGATGAAAGCTCTTTGACGGGAGAATCACGACCAGTGAAGAAAACAGCCGATGACATAGTCTATACAGGCTCAGTTAATGTTGGCCAGCCGGTACGGATCCGTATCACTGAGCTCGGTGGTTCATCTATGCTTGATCAAATCATCGCTGTGGTTCGTGAGGGACAAAGTAAGCGTGCACCTCTTGAACGAGTTGCTGATCTTCTCACTTCGCATTTCGTCCCTATTATCACTCTGATCGCCATTTCGACTTTCGTTATATGGTTGGCGCTTGGCCATTCCGGTGTGCTCCCCGCAGATTATCTCGATGTCGCACATGGCGGCTGGACATTCTGGGCGCTGGAATTTGCGATTTCAGTGTTTGTCGTGGCTTGTCCCTGCGGCCTGGCCCTTGCAGCCCCTACGGCGCTTTTCGTTGGGGGCGGCCTAGCAGCGAAGCATGGTATCCTGGTCAAAGGTGGCGGTGAAGCATTCCAAGAAGCCAGTCGCTTGAATGCAATTGTCTTTGACAAGACAGGCACATTGACTGAGGGTGGAAGTCTGAAAGTTTCTGAGCATGAAGTTTTGACCAGTGACCTAGAGGTTGCGAAAGTCGCATGGGCTCTAGCTCGGAAAATGGAAGAGAGCAGCAACCATCCGATTGCCCAGGCAATCACCGAATTCTGCAAAACACAACAATCTTCCTTTGTCAAGTCCTCAGATGTTCATGAGATTTCTGGGCAAGGCATGAAAGGAACCTTTACTGTGTCTGGCTCCGAGCACGAAACGCAATACGAAGCTGCAATTGGCAACGAACGTCTTCTCAAGAGTCTACTGTCCACTGAAACAGACACGTACTTTGTTTCCAATCTGCTGGCAAAATACCAGTCAGCAGGCAAGTCGACTGCAGTTCTCTCACTCCGTCAAGTACACCCCCCATCCACCGAACCATCCGAATTCATACCTGCCATTATCTTCGCCACCTCAGACACGATTCGCCCGGAAGCTGTCGATATAATCTCTCAGCTTCAGAAGCGTCATGTCGATGTCTTCATGTGCACTGGCGATAACCAAACCACCGCCCATGCCGTCGCGGACATGCTAGGCATCCCGCGCTCCAAGGTGATGGCCAACGTCCTGCCGGCGGAGAAAGCCAGCTTTGTTCGTCAGATTCAAGAAGGTTCGCAGAATACACTACCAGCCGATGGTAATACCACACCAAGTTCAGGCCAATCACGTCCTATTGTCGCCTTCGTCGGCGACGGAGTGAACGACTCGCCTGCTTTGGCAGCAGCAGATGTGAGTATCGCCATGGCATCTGGCTCCGACGTTGCTATCAACTCTGCCAGCTTCATCCTCCTCAACTCAGATCTCAGCACGATTTTGCAGCTGGTCCTGCTCAGTCGCCGTGTCTTCAATCGAGTCCGTATGAACTTCGGCTGGGCCGTCGTCTACAACCTCTGTTTGGTTCCGGTCGCTGCTGGTGTGCTCTATCCTATCGTGAGTGGCCATGATCAGAAAACTATTGATGGTGAGATGATCATGGCCAATGAGCACTGGAGATTGAGTCCGGTGTGGGCTGCTCTGGCCATGGCATTGAGCAGTATTTCAGTTGTGCTGAGTAGCTTGGCTTTGAGGATTGACAAAGAAAGCATTATGAAAATTGTGAGATGGAAGAGGTAGATATTATGGTATTCATTTAATTCATTTTGGCGTTATTTCTGTATCTAATTCAAATGAACCCAGTACTCAATCAAGTCTGTTTCCAAAGTAGCCTCGATAGGAGATCTTTCTAACCCATATTCACCTCCCCCCAAACTTCCGCAATCCGCTTGCTGAGATCTTTAGCAACCTTCTTTCGCCCTACAACTTCTGACATTCGACTCGCTATCATCGTCTCTCGCTCCTTAGGCTCCAGAGCCATGTACGCATCCACCAGATGCCGTGGCGTTGGCCAAATCTGTTGGATCTCAAGGGCTTTTTCACCCGTCACGCCACGGGTACACATCAACATTTTCAAAAACACATCCCGAAGAGTAAGAACGTCCGACTTGGAAGTGAGTGCGGAGAATGTCACGAATGAGACCCCGTACGTGATGGACGGGTCTTGAGAGCGAAGATTATCGAGGATTGTTAGGTAGGAGTCAGTGGAGAGCCGACGGCCGGGGACGAGACCAATTTTGGACACTGGAGATGAAGGGGCGGTGGTAGGGTTGGTATTGCTATCAGTGCCTCCGTTGGAGGGCGCGTCTTCAACCCCGTACATCTTCCGCAAAAGCAGAGTCATGCGCGCTAGGTACCGGATTGACTCGTCCAGATGTTTCGTCTTTTTGATAAAGTATTGATTAAGAACCTGTGTCGACGCAATGGCTGACGCAACCATCTCCTGGTATTGCGCCGCACTCCCGCTAGTCGAGTCAGGATGCGTGACTGCAAACTCTTCGATCAGGTAGATGACGTTCTTGATACCGGAGCGACGAAGCCGGAACTTTTGTTCGTGGAAGCGACCATCTTTAATAGATCCGATCAGATCGTCCAGACGCTTTCGCTCAACGATCCAGTCCAGCATCACCTCGTCGCCTTCTTCGCCGTGTCTTGTGAGGAAATTTGGGTCATGGCATTTGGCTACCCACATTGCGTCGCCGACTTCTAGGGCACGTACTTGCGGTGTGATTCCTTGCTTCATTAGTTCGCCGGAAATGTAGTCGCGGTCGGTGGAGGTGCGGACTTCTCGGGTATCTAATACGAGCTGGATGGTGAAGCTCTTAGGTGGGAAAAATATGGGCTCGATATTGGCTATGTCGTGTTCGGATAAATTTTCTTGGGCATCTGCCGATGGATCGTCGTCTTGTTGAAGTGAGTCAAGTTCGGCCGCCAATGCTCCTTGCTGCGACCCAGTTGTTGCGGTAGCTTGGGAGCCAGACGTTGCGGTTTGAGCAGCGCCAGGTAATGTCTTTTGGAGACGTTTGGCTACCTCCCAGCCCTCCTCGGAAAGAAGGTACTTCCGAAGTGGACGTCCATGTTCATAGACTAAGTCTTTCTGAATGAGAGTTTTCATTGAATTCCACGCGGTGTAGAACTTGGTCGGGTCCGGGGGTGCCGTGAACGAACTGTCGCAGTATGGCTGGGCCACCTCGATTAGGTGGGCCTTGGTCATCCCCTGGGATGCATTCTCATCTTGGGTTCCCAAGCCCAGCATCAGTGCATATGGACCAGATCGTAATGTTGGTACATACGGCTTGGCTTTCCGAGGCTTCTTAGTCGGTTGATCGACGCCGCCTTCAGATGTTCTCTTTCCACCTGTTTGACCTAGTTGAGCTTTGGTTTTGGGGCCAGGGTGCAATTGATATCACAAACCTTTGTCAGGCGGTTCTGGCATTGGAAGCCCATTTTCTTGACAGTGAGCCTTTAATTTATCAGTCAAGCGGTCACACAATTTAGGACCCAGTCCATTCAATTGCTGTGCTTGAGACGGATGTTGGAATTCTAACGGACAGGCTTTCATTGACTCATAAGCCTTCTTGTACCTACAAGATGTTAGATATAGTCTTTGCCGAAGGGCGCCAAGAGATATACGTACACGGTCACGCCTTTGCTGTTTCGTTCTCGAGCTTGATCCAGCCATTCTTTGATCCACCCCAGTAGGAGGGGGTTTGCACACTCCTCGCTCATGGCGAGTCGAGTGTCCAGTGACCGAGTGGCAAATCAGTAGAGCGAACTATCATCCAGGCGAGTCTTGGACGCGAAGTGATGTTGCCTTTTTGGGAACGCGACTAACACGTGATGATAAGAGAGATAAGAATATTTGCAGAGATGCCCTGTAGAACTGCTCTTAATCCACACTCTACTTGATTTGTAGGCTCATAACGCACTTGGATATGATTGACTCGCATTTATCCCAGTTACTTGTTTCATGCGTCAATTGGAATTACAATTTGATGACCTCCCAGGTCTAATGGCACTCGTACAGCCTTTGTAATGAACTCCGCAATTGAGCCAGATCTATATATATTATTTTTTACTACATAGCCAAACATTTTGATTATCACCGTACAAGAATAGTCGGCTTATGCAGCCTTGTGATATCTGTTTGGTAGTCCTTTTGGTAGTTATGTTCAAGATCTTCTTAGATGTCTTATGAGATTTTTTTTCCCTAGACATTTCCCCCCTTATTGGTGCTGTAGCTAGAATATAGGTGAAAACGTCTTAAAATGTGCAATACACTTTTCTATGTATAATGAGGGATGTTCTACGCAATTTGATACTAAAATTATCCAAATTACTTCCAAGGTTGTTGTGTTGATTGCCACCGCTACCCTGATTCGAGGGAAGATGACGTCGACAATCCGCGCGAACTACATACTCGGGTGTACAAGACAGGTTCCAACACGTATGGATAGCCATTCTCTGTCAAGCCTATGGGGCCCAAAATAACAAAACAAACTCCTTTTTTACAACCTCACACTCAGGTCTACAATAGAAAAACGAGGCATGCTATCTACTTCGGTCGACGGTGCTACGAGTAAGGCCGACGACAGTCTCACTACGGATCCTGATATCATAAAGGGACCAACTGAGAGCCATGTACTGTCTCAAGTGGAACAGGATGAGAAAGGCCTCTCGCAACAATCTGGCGATACAGCGGAAATTACCAATATCGGATGGGGTGAATCTCCAGATGCCATCGAGGAACCTTTAGTGGCCGGAGTGTCAAATGAGGATTTGTGGATGCTTATTAGACGATTCGACAAGGTACGCACCGTATTCCAAGCGGGAATATAAATGTACGAGAAGTTGGAACTGACCTTTTCATCCTGCACTTCAGCAAGTCTATCGAGTCAAAGCAATTCCCGATGCTCCCGCGCAGAGACTAGATCTCACGCGAAAAGACGACGATGAATTCTCGCCAGATAAACTCAGGGCTACACTTGAACGTTTTTATACAACCGTTATTATTGGCTTGACCAATTTTATCAAACATATTGCTCGACTACGGTCTTGGAAGGAGCCACGCCGAACCGCTGCCTTTTGCACGGCATGTCTCCGTTCTAGGAACAGATAGCCTTTGTTTGTACTATTACTGATGATTTGATTCAGGTTTACGTCTTATCATGGCTGCTCGATCTACTCGTTCCAACTATGCTGGCCGTCCTACTTGCTCTGGTGGTCTACCCACCATGTCGATCACTTATGTTCCCTCCCGCTCCGATTTCTCTTGTCAATAAAGATACAGGTGGTGTACAAAAACCAAAGGCTGGAATCCTTGGATCTGATGACAGTATCACCGGGGCCCCCGAGAAATTCAAGGGCGAGGCAGCCGAGCAGGAGGCCAGTAATCTTGTCGCAAGCGTTGCCAGTGTGGCTGTGGGAAGCGCAGTCGGAAAGCATGATCAGGGGGTCCCTGATGATGCACCTTTCGAAGACGATGTGCCAGACGCGATGGATATTGTTGCCAATACTGCCGATGCGCAAAGCGCCGCCCATGGAAAGGTGCCGACTGACTCCCATGACAAAACACGACAGCCTATGAAACAGAGCGTGATGGAAGCTGCGAACTCTTCAATGCAGGTGATAGGCGATATTACAGATACCTATGAGAAGTTGGGCAAGTGAGTAAAGAGCTTGTGATTCTCTTGCCCGTGGCTTGGAGTTAACTTTATTTTGTCTAGTGCTCTATCCGCCACGGCTCCGTTTCCCCAGCTGACTCCTCGACTGCGCCTGGTAGCTTTGCTGGGACCAGCATTGCTAGCCTCGATGATGACATCTTGCTATGTTTTTATGAAGCTCAGTACACTCTTGGTTGGGCTCACCTTCTTTGGAGATCCTGTCATTAGACGAGGGGTTGTATATCTAAATCGCCGCCTCCCGAATTGGCAGAAGCTTATTCAATTGCAAAAGTATGCCTTCAAGCCATGCATGTACGCAAAATGCTAACTCTCAATAGTTCCCTTCTGAAAGGTATACCAACAAATGCTCAGCTGGCCCTTACTCTTCTCCGCATCGGCGAGGCGAATGCGTCACCACTTCCACCCCCTCCAACCTCACAAGACAAAGTGCCCTCACGGCCAGCTTCTTTAAATCAGGAGGAAATCACCTTAGGTGCTACTGGTGAGGAAATAAAACAGGCTGCACTGGTTAAGCCCGAGGACCATGCCCAGGAGGCCCAAGCTTCACCAGAGAAGAGCCAGAAAAGAACATTAGGATCTAGTATCCTAGGCTTCTTTCGAGGAACCACAGCCAGTGGTGTCGAGAGCAAACGAGGGGTTGATCGCTTGCGAGCAGCAATCGGTTCACACCATGCTAAGAATCGTGTTGGCGTCCTACGTGACAGAGGGAAGAGGATAACACCAAGTGGGCCTGTTGTATTTGACGCTCGATGCAAAGGCAAGCGCGGCACTGTGATTATCGACTCAACCAAGGAGCCTCCGCTGCTGTACTTCACGACCGATACACCACAGAGTGGAGATGCACAGTTGGAGAATCGCAAGAATGGATCTGTTTTGTTCACTATGCCGGTGACTGATATCCAGGAGATGCGAAAATTGGGCGGTATGGGATGGAAAGGGAAATTGGTTGTTGGTTGGGCTCTTGGAGGCAAGGAGGTGGTTGATGGTTTGCTTATCACTGGCAAGAAGCCAGGGCAGTCATATCAGCTCACTGCCATGGGGACGAGGAACCAATTGTTTAATCGGCTTATTGCCATAGACAGACAGGTTTGGGCGACCTGTTGATTCAAATTCCAGGATGCGTGCTAAGAGAATTGCAGGTTTGGGAATGATACCCTTGATCTGATGTTTTGCTTTATGTGCCGGTGGTAATGTGTACAGTCGGCTAAGTTCTATTGAGCAATGATGTATCAGCAATTATGAGACCATGAATATCATCACTCAAACCCCAAGAACCATCGTCATTGCCTCTAACGGTGACTCTCTACACGTTGTGGTATGGCATAAATTCACACCCACAACCAAGAAGAGCAGAAAGAGGATCATTTAGACTAAAACATCCCATCCTATGCACGAGCAACAAGTCTGCATTAATATATAATATCCTTCATGGAACAATTATTGAGAACAGAACTCACATCTTCCAGCTCCGCTTCCAAGATAGTCTCCACCATTTTACCAATGGCTTCTGCACGTTCTTCTTTGGTTAAACAGCCGATCTTAACGAGCTCAGTCAGAGCATCTCCAACCCAGTTCTGGCAGTTCCAGTCTCGGTCGCTATTGCTGTTGCGCACCGATGTGCAAGCACATGCAAAAATGATCTTCGCCTTGGTGGCGGAGTCCGGCGCTGTACATACAGGGATCCAAGCTATTGGCGGCTCCGACATTGGGTTCTCTGGGTCCTTCTGGAATTTAAAGAAAGGATGTGCACCGACAGCATGAAGCCAATCGTATTGGCCGTCGGAGTACAGGGCGTGCAGCGCTGTGTGTCGGTATTTGGAGAAGTCTACTGGCACGCCTTTATACACGAGGAGGGATATTTTTGTTGGCATTTTGGGACAAATTATTATTCCAAGCCAGAGATTATATAATATCTCACCCAAGTCGCTTTTCTGATGGACAACACAAGAGTTGCAGCGAGGTGGGTTGTGAGGAAAAGCGGGCGGTTGTAACTTGGGCCGACACCTGCCTCGGTTGACACCTTTAGACAATCCTGGTCTATATCAAAAACCACCTACGCGTTCTTTGTCTCTTTTTTTAGGTAAATTTAAATGGAATTTAAGAAATAAACCAATCGATGATATCGTTGAAATTTTAGAATCTAAGTAATCCCGCACAGTCTGCTCAAAAGACTCGTCACGTTTGAACCCCAAGGAGATGGCCTGGGTGTTATCAAACTGAGTTGGCCATGACTTTAGAATTGGGATCAACGCAGAGTCCTCCTTCTCTGTAAGAAGAGCTAGTTTATCTGCACCGCCCACTGCTTCCAACGCATCCATCATGCCCTGGACTGTGACGCAGATTCCAGGCACATTGATCTGGCGAATGTGCGGGGGAACAGAGTCGGCAGGAAGACGGAGGGTGAGAAGGAGATTTTCCACAAGGGTCTTGGGCGAGCATAGCCACGACTTGAACTGTCGGTCTTCAATGGGAATCACACATTTCTTCCCGTCGAGCGGCTCCCGGATCATGCCGGAGAGGAAGGACGAAGCTGCAGCAGTAGGCGCACCCGGTCGGACGGAGATGGTAGGGAATCGCAAGGTGAAGCCGGTAATAAATTTACGGCGAGTATATTCGTTCACCAGCGTTTCGCACACGATCTTCTCGGCGCCGTAGGAGGACTCCGGAGTCGGGATCACGCTGTCGGTCACAATTTCTGGCAACGGTTGGCCGTATACGGCCTGGCTGGACGAATAGATGACCCGCACTCCGGGGCAAGTGTGTCGGAGTGCATCGAGCAGGTTTCGGGTTGCATCGATGTTGACGCTCATGCCAAGGTCGAAGTTGGCTTCGGAGCCGGACGACATGATGCCGTGGAAGGCATAGACGGCATCTAAGGAGGAATCGACGATGTCCTTGGCCCCTGTCAAAAGATCGGCCTTGATTGCCGTTGCAGATTGGGGATAGCGAACGCCCGCAGGGATCGGGGGTTGATGTATATCGGTCAATGTGACGCGATAGGTTGGGTCATTCAACAGCTCCTTCGCAAGCAATTGGCCGATGAAACCGGCAGCGCCAGTGATGAGGACATGCATTTTCTTGAGAATAGTACAGTAAACAGGGAATAAGGGAGGGAAATGTATTTCAATATGTAAGTTTAGCTTCTCTCCGCATTCGCATCAAGTCCGAGGCGATCTTTACTTGGTCCTCCGCACCGGACTTGGGCCGGCACAGCACAGTTTCTAAGTGGATCTGCTGTGGAACTCCTGTGTGCGAATCGCCTTGGAGTTTTGTCTCTCGGGTCCCTCTTTTGTTCCAGGGTCTTCAATTGGGGCCTCTTGAATCCTGGGGGAATGACTCGATTGTCCACCGGTTTGAGTGGCCTGTTGAAGTCAAAGACATAAGCTAATACCACATGTACTGTATTTATGGAGTATACTTAATTCAAAACCATCAAAGCCGTGATCTCGAAAACATATAACATGCAAAATTCACATGTTGTGACTATGTTGTATAGAATAATGTCGAGGTGTGAATTTCGGGAGAAAGTCAAGTCCGCGTGGGGGGTCCAAGTCACACAACTTGCTTTTGTTTCTCTTCCTTTCTCTTGATACAACCCCCCCTATTGGTTATAACTTCCCTATTGAAATATAAGTGCAATTTATCTCTAGCTCCTCAGCGTACTTGTGTCATTTAACCTCGCTTTACTCCGACCGTTCCCCACTCCAGAGAACATTTTGCCCCCTAACCCGAATGCCGGAGTATCACCGACTCCTCGCACACCATTCTCCAGACTAGCATCACATCATGGATACCACTACTCCACTGAAGCGGTCTCCTGATGACGCTGGGCTGGAGTCGCCCCGACAGAACAAGACACGTTCTGTCCCCAGGATCTCCAAAGCTCGTGCATGTGAGTCTTCCCCACATCATCTCCGATAACCCCCCAATTAACGGGGAGCAGGTGCAGAATGCAAGCGCCATAAGATTCGCTGTGAGTTTCGGACAGGAGAGTCAACTTGTACAAAATGTACTCGCAGCGGCATCAAGTGCGTTGTAAACGACTTTTCACAGAAATTCGTTGATGATGATGGGATGTACGTATGACCCCGCCCGGCCCTTTGGTGAGCTTTGGAGCTATCAGGGGCTACGCTAATCCAATGGCTCTGGTATAGATGGAAATCACAGGCCAATGCGACCATGCGACAGCTGCAGGCGGCTGTTTCGCATCTATTGCGACAAGGCGGACTGCCTGAGCTCTCAACTTTTGCTCCCGGGGACACCCTCAATGGCCCCAGCCCTGCCGAGTCGTATCATGGTCAGCATCCCTCCGTCGATCGGTCGCAGACACAAGCCAGTCACCAGGAGGGATTGGGAGTCGGAGTCGTGATGGATGTTACCCGGGAGCCATCGCCGGAGCAGGATCTCCAAGACCCAGATTTGGTCCCTGCTCCTATGCGCAGTCTATACGAGGTCACTAAATTACGGAACTTGAGAAACAACCATGTCGAGGCACCGAAACAGACGTTGCTAGAGGAAGATTTTATCTCGCGGCGATTGATCTCCCTTCATGAAGCGGAGGAATTATTCGCGTACTTCAGTCGCACCATGAACCAGCTACTGTGGGGTGGAATAATTCTTGTACATCGTGATTTAACGTCCGTTCGTCGCGCATCGACGCTTCTTTCTGCTGCAGTGTTGACTGTTGCGGCACTTCATATTCCAAACCGCACCGAAACCTTGAACCGGTGCTACGGTGAGTATGTATCGCTTGTATCCAACATGGCCCTCACGCGGGCCCACACTCTGGATGATATCCGAGGCCTCTGCGTGGGGGCATTCTGGCTATCAGAGTTAAGTTGGAAATTGTCCGGACATGCGGTACGAATCGCGACCGAGATGGGTCTTCATCAAAGTTATCAGCGCCTGACCCGTGGACACACTGATCAGTATGAACGCGCCCAACTCTGGTATCTGCTTTACGTATGCGACCATCACTTTAGTATTGCTTATGGACGACCACCTGTCATCCACGAGGATGTGGTGATTCGTAACTATGAGACCTTCCTCGCGTTGCCGATGATCGTCCCTGGAGACATTCGACTTCTAGCCCAAGTTGCTCTCTTTATGATTTTGACCGAAGCATATCGAATGTTTGGCAGCGACACTGAACAAGCATTGACCGAAGAGGATTTTGGACAGTTGCGCGTATACAATGTCGCAGTAGACCAATGGCGACTTCTCTGGCAGCCTCGATCTGGTGAGTGATTTCTCAATCTTAATTTCTAGCAACTCTCGGTTCTAACATACATTGGAATCCATTACAGCCGATAGTGCCTATGTGCGGACTTATCCATCCAAAGGGGTGGTTCTGCACTACCATTTTGCAAAGTTCCAGCTGAACTCTCTTTCTCTTCGTGCGCTCTCACCATCCAACACACCCGTCTTTTCTATGGATCGCAAGGAATCTGCCAACATCGCAATTTCCTCGGCGATGGCATGTCTGAATATGGTTCTCGAGGAGCCTGATATTCGGGATGCGATCGTCGGCGTTCCGATCTTCACCCACACTATGGTTACATTCTCCGCCGTTTTCTTACTCAAGGTCGCAATCAATTGGAACACGGCCTACCTTAGTATCAACGCCCGCCAAGTACGACGGCTAGTTGAGCGTGTGATCGAATTGATGAATTGTGTCTCTGCAGGCGAGCGACATCTTACTCGACATATCGCCCGTGGATTAGGCAAAATGCTTGAGCGCTTTGACTCTTGGGAGGCTGCTTGGCAATTCCAAGGAAACAATGATACTGCGGCGGAAGGCCGCGAGGTCCCTGGGGGAGCCAACGCCATGGCACAGGGATTCCCTCCGCCGGATTTGATCTATGGCATGGTCGGCACATACGGATTTGGTCTTGACGAAAATCTGCTAGATCCGAGTATGGCAGATTTTGAATTTCTAACGCAATGACCATAGGAGTCAAAGAAAGACTCGAACAAACCCTGGGATATCTAGGATATCAGGAATATCAAGGATACCACGGACACCAAGGTTGTCAAGATCTGAAACATTTGAATACCATAGATGTGCACGGAATGTAAAGAGAGTTGGCGACACGCACCATTCTGTCATGGACCACGCACTCAGACTCCACCCGGGGTGTAAGCTATCACCCGTGGACCTCAACCCTAAGGTCTTGTCACTCCCATGTCGTCACCGTCACCTCCCGCTTATGCCCTTTCCCCCTTCCTTTTTCTTAGAGCTGCCTTTGCTTTCCTCTATAATTCCCGCCCTCCCCCTAGACTTGGGACTTTTGCCCATCCAGAATCTTCTCTCTCTCTCTCTCTTTCCCATAAATTCACCTTTCTCCTACCCTTTATACTTAATTATTTCTCACTCATTAAATTCTTCACTATGACTACCCGCAAGAGGAAGCAAGAGGCCGAGGAGGAGCTCCAGGCCCTTCCTAGCGATGTGAGCGAAGAGGAGGAAGAGTGAGTTCTATCCCGTTATCAATTTTCCCTTTATTCCCATTCTTGCGCCAATGCGCTGCCCATCATTCCACTACAATTCTGCACGGCCATACTAGCGGTGCATCCATCACGGCGTAATCTCGAACTCGCTGTGAATTGGAACATATCACGCAGAACCTCTCAAATATAGTTGGTCTTTGCTAATCCAATCGCGCGGCGAATTAGATATGAAGACTCCGAGCCCGAAGGAGAGGGAGTGAGTGACGAGGGCGAACAGGAGGAGGCGGAAGGAGATTCAGAGTCTGAGGAAGATGAGGAAGGAGAAGAAGAAGAAGAAGCAGAAGCAGAAGCAAAGCCCGAATCTAAAGACAAAGACGAAGGTACGTTTTAACATGAACTGATATGGATATCCTCTAAATCCCTCAAATCGCACACGCTAACACACACACCCCCTCTCCAGGCGCTCCGGCAGCCAAGAAACGGAAGACTGCGCCCGTTGTTGTCGACGATGACGAGGCCGAGACCGGCGCAAAGAGCGAAGAAGATGAGGAGCCCGATGAGGGAGAAGACGTGGAAGAGAGTGCCGCTGATACCGCTGCGGAAAGTGGCCCGGCTGCCGCTGCTGCTGAGGCTAAGGGCGATGTTGTCCCTAAGGAGTCGGATCTGCCCGAGATTGAGGTGGCTGAGGCGGCTGAGGAAGAGAAGTGATTTTGCGATCGAGAACTTGGTTTCTTCGAGGCATGAATTTCACGTTGACCTAAAATGGAATTCGCCCTTGAGGTGCTTGGATCGCTTTGCTATAATAACCTCCTGTATTCAATCAGAGGTGCTATGAATGTAGATGTAGTGCTGTGGGTTGGGAGTGAGCTCTGATCTATATAGATCCAGGGACATCAGGCTAGTTCATGGAAGTAGCCAATCCTCGGTGTGTTCTCAGGGACTTGTAGATGACGTGCATAGAAATCGCCGTTGAAGCTCATCTACTGGCTGGGTTTTATATTCCTCTCCACTCCAGTGGGTTCCAATGCGCCTAAATGGATACAAACCCCAAACTACTCCGTATGAGATCCACCTCTTATATTGAATGGGGCACACGACGCACACGACCTCAGATACGAAAAAAAAGACATAGCAGAAAAAATATATACTATCTAAGAGAACTACCTAATAATCGGATCAAGGAAGAAAAGAAGTGAAAAAAAGAGGTGTCATCAATCAAGGATGGTCATTAGCCCTGCTTGCGCCCCGCTTTCTATCTTGATATTGAGAAGACATAAAACTGTCCTTTAACTCAGTTTGTGTCTGATCATCACCAACATATTTAAGTATCGCTACCACTGCTGCGGAAGGTGGCACATAGTTGACAGTATTGGTGTGTGAGGTCGAGGACCGCTTGAGGCAGATTTGTCGCTTGGACAATGCTGCGGACCTTAACAGCACCCTCGTCCTCAATGAGCTTGCGAACCAGGAACAAGAGCTCGGGGGAGAACTAATGATTGATTAGTTATAGTGGTCAAAGCAATATTAGCCAGGGAAAGGAGCATACCTCGGAGTACCAACGGTATTGCCAGGCGATGAGGCGGATCAACGCGCCAAGCATGCCTCTGGTATCGTTTCGCTGTTCGTACAACTTCAACACTCCACGCATAGCCTTGGGCGAGAATCGAGTGGCTAAACAGCTCTGGTATGCCTCAATGCTTTCGTCGAAATGGTGGAGCCGCTGCGCAAGCTCACCAAGAATTTCCCACTCGGTAGCAGACTTCTTGTATTCCATGGCTTGTTGACGGAACTGGGCCATTTCGGTCCGCCAGATGGTGTAGATGCGCAGATCCTCGTACAGTACCATAAACAAGTTATCTAGCCATCTTTCACACAGTCGCTTGTTTCGGAATTGCGTATATGAGGCGTGAGATGGGTCGGGCTGCGAAACGAACAATTAGCATATGTAAAAAAGATACGTCCCTGATGGGTGTGCAACATACATCTTCACTGCCAGACTTGACAACTTCGGATGCTACTGTTTGCTCTGGTCGCTCTAGGGGGCTTTCAGCGTGGCTGTCTCCCACCTCTCCATTAGCAGCTTCTTCCGAAGACGGCTCGGTCGGGTCAGGGCCAGCCACAGAGCTAGAGTCATCTTCGTGGCTGGAGTTGTTGCCGTTGGTCTCCGCCCCCGATGATGTAGCGGGCTTAGGGACATGCTGCCGCTCAACGCGGTATTCTTCTTCCATCACAAAAACCTGGCTGCGAGCCTTGAGTAGCTGATCCCATCCAATGGCAGCAGCGATTTTGGTCAGAAGATTATAGGCCTTCAAGAAAGTACCTTGGTAACTTGCAGCATGGATTTTTCGAAGCGAAGGGTGAACATAGTCGTGAGGGTCTCCCTGCTTTGGCTGGCCTTCGTCGATTTCATCGAGAATGCTTTCGGCAAGAATTGGGAGCATGATGCGTGACGGTTGTGGCATACGAGGGGTATCTTTGTCTTGATAGGTGAACATGGGGCAAGAGTTGAGAGTCAGAAGCGCCAAGTCCCACCGTTCCATACCGACATATACCTCTGCGAGGCGAGCCCATGTACTGAATTCGCTGGGTGCTGCAGTAACCGCACGCTTAGCACACTCAAGTGCCATCTCGCTTTCGCCTTTGCTTTGACAGAAACTAGCCTGGCAATCAAGAAGAGCATAGTCCATCGGAACATCTTGTAAAGCGTCATACATGAGGCGTACCGCTTGCACCTCCTCGTCTGCCATAATCTGTACACGAGCTAGGAGTGACGAAACCTCCACGTCCTTTGTGCGGAGCTTTTCAAACAAGTTGATTCCAGAGGTATAGCGGCCAGTCGTGTGGATGTATTTGAGGATGCCGGATGTGAGGTGGTTGCTCACAGTGTTAGGGACTTGGGTTTCTGGGTCAGAGCTCAGTTGGCGTCCTAAATGTTGTTAGTAAGAGAAACCACAGGCAAATTGGTTCGACATCCATACCCAAGAAGAAAAGTTTCTCAGCAGCATCCAAGAATTTGTGCTCCATCTCCGTGTTTGTCACAGGGTTGAATCGTCGAACTCCAACAATCTTCTTGACCGAATCTCCGCTTCCATCGTCTGCATAGAGATAGGCCCTTAGAACAGCGCAAAGGAAGGTCTCAAGCCAAAGAGCCTCAGTAGCAACGCGCTTGTCACCCCGCTCATCAATGCAGTAGCTCTCCAAACTTCCGGGGATTTTAACTTCGACGCGCATATCGAGATGGGAGAATGCATTGTAGCAACTGTATAGGTATCAGCACTTGAACCAAACATTGGACATAAATTGCATTCTAACCAGTAGATCCCCGACACCACTTTATGCGTCTTGTCGAGTGGAGAAAATGTGAGGGTGTTAACATAGGCGGCTAAGCTAGCGGACGACGAGGCATCGATTCCGGTGACATGATGATAAACTCCGGTCTGCGATAGGTAGAAAATCAATCGATTGTTCACACATGGAGGGTTATAGGATGGAAGGAAAGTTGGTATCTTATGTCTTACCTGGCGAGTCGAATTGGCCTTGGGCTGTTTCACCAAATAGACCAGGTCTGGAGGGCCTAGTTCTCGCAAGCTCTGCAAGGACTCCGTTCGCGCATCGACCGCAACATAGATCTCTTCCTCCTCGTGAATCCTAAATGAGGTTCTCAATGTTAGTCACAACTCCTATAATTGTCGTAGTGGCAACTCTTGAGAATCTCGAACAATGGCCATGCATACGCAACCCGGGGAACACGTAAACGGGGGAAAGGAGCACATACTCAGGAACAGCGGGCGCGACCATGGCGCCTGCACAAGCGCGGTAGAATCAAAGATGAGGGTATCTTAGTTAATGAATTCTGCGTGAATCGTAAGACGTTTCAGGGGTTGCGCTGAGGGGAAAGTGAAGAGTGATCTAAGAGTACTCCAACTGTTAGTACTCTGCCCCCAAGGAAAGGGTTCCAGGCCACAAGGCATCCAGGCACCCAGGCATCCAGGCACCCAAACACTTTCCCCGATTGGTGCAACGCGTGATAACGTGTGTCTGCCCGCGATAACCAACTGATTTGCTCATTATTGTTGCCCGCATCTAGGGTCTCGGTTGCCCGATGCTGTCGCCTGATTTCTCTTTTCCATCTAATATTTGAGGGACCCACGTGGAGCTCACACCATGTCGAGCTGGGTCGCATTGAATGTTGAGCCCGATGAGGCCGTCGAAGAGGAAGTTGACGACACCAAGGAGCTTCAGATCGAGGAAGCATTGAAGCTTTATCACAGTGCCTTGAAGCTACATTCACAGGGGCCAGAGCACTATCCCCAGGCTGCCGAAGCCTATGAAGCTCTTCTCAATTCGGAGATCTTCAAATACCCAGAGTCTATCTCCGATTTCAAAAGGGGTGCATTCGATGATGCGCACGATGAAATTGCTACAGAATCAATCGCCGAGTTCAACGTGAACGACTCTACCTCCAGTCTATTCCAAACACTCTATCTGTCCTACAAAAACCACGGCAAATTTGTCCTCGACTCAGTACAAGACTCCATACGAACACCGCCACAGACCCCCGAATTCGAGCAGGAAACACAACGGAAGTTGATGGAGGCATCCAGAACAGCTTTGGCATCTTTTGGAGATGCCTTGGAACGTGATGACTCAGATCTCAACCTCTGGAGGCAAAGCGCAAGACTCAGTAGTTCCTTAAACAGCTACCGCTTGTCTCGGTATTGTTTGGAAAGTGTGCTAGCGGACGATGACAACCGCTTGGAACTACGGCCAGAGCAGCTTGGACTGGAGGAGATATTTGCGGAGCAGCGCCTGCGAAGCACGCTGCAATCCCTCTTTGACAAGTTATCTGCCTCGCAAATCCCGGCCCAGAGGCCAAAGAAAGCTTTATTGAAATACCTAAAACAGCATGAAGATCCATATCCGAACTTGCCTGCCCTTCCCGCCGATTTGCGCCACCTAAATCCGTCAAAAGGCCCTCTTGCGCTGCACGCTTCCCGTCAAGAGATAAACCCTACTGACCCAACCTGGGAGTCAGTTGGCAACGCACTCCTCCAAGCACTTGATGATGAAGATGATGACTCGCTCGCTTCTGTTCCCACTCAGTCTATCGCCATTATCTTACCTGCTAGAAGCTCCCAGGCTCCGACTACACCGATCGCAAATGCGGAGGACGCGGAAATGGCCATAGATACCGAGGACCACGGAAGCAAGGATGACAATGAGGTTGCCGACGTGATGCTAGAGACAACCGAAAATGATGGCAAGCCTGAACAAAGTTCACCTCAGCCAACTAAGGAGCCCTTTGAGGTAGGCGAGGAACAATCGTTCATCGACCAAAGTGCTGAAAAGCAATTGATGGAGTCGTTGGAACATCAATCGACACAGCCTCAGGATAAACAGGCCGAGCAAGATGGGGCTCACGCAGAAGAAGTTGACACGAACGCTGTACTTGACATTCGCAAAAGATCGTCTGCGTCAGCTGCGAACGAAGAACCGGAGGGCGGCCGCATGAAAAGCAGACGGACCCGCGCCCGAGAGTCAAATGCCGACACTCTGGCACCACCTGAAGAGGTTGCGTTTGATCAAGACAAGTACTACGAAGACCGCCTTGAGGTTTTTACCAATGCCGATGATTGGATGTTCAGCACTGTCGACTCTCTCTTCTCGAAAGTCGGTATCGATGCACTTGGTAGCATTGAAGCTCTGAG